CTGCACTAGAAAGTGAGCACGTGGAGATGGGCTTCAGAGAGTCTCATTCAGTCAGAGTTCCTCCAGGTTGTCCCGGTATTGGGGTGCAAACCCCAGGTGGCCTCCTCTCCAGGTGGTCACTCTGCCATCATGTAGACTAGACAGGGGGACTGAGATGAAAAGGTGTCAGAGGCAAAAAAAACCCCACAACTCTAAACAACAACTGCCACTGAGGTGATTTCAGACTCAGACCAAACTCAATAAACTACCCAACCAATCAAACAAATGCACAGCCATCGTGTTGACTCCAGCTCCCAGAAACACTGTGGGGTAGAGGAGAGCTGCCCCGCAGGATCCCAAGGCAGAGAGCACTGCCGGAAGTGGACACCGCGAGGTCATTCTGGCTAGCAGCTGATGCTTTAACCACACTGTCACCAGGCAAAGGGAGACAGTGCGTATGTGGATCTATAAATACAAGCCCCTTTTAGCACCTCAGGTACTTGTGTGCTCACATACCCACACTCTCCCCCCATCTCTGCAGCTTTCCCATCCAGCTCCTAAGCAGTCAGAAGTTAAGGGGAAGCAAATGTTCTACGCGGCACGGATTATCAGGCACTTCAGTCTCAAAGCCAACTGTCTATCAGAATCACCTAGGAAGCTTTTTACAAAACATCCAAGTCCTGTCCACCCGTATGTGCTGAATGGCATCCTCTCTCCTGAGATGGGTATTTGGGGACCTCCGCTGCTTGGGCTTTCAGACACTGCTGCCCAGGGGGTGAGGACCATGCTAGTCATAGGACGGCCATATGGTCCTTCCAGGCCAGCAGATTTGCTCTTCCTTGGCATTGTGTTCAGGGCAAAGTTTGGATAAAAATGCTGTTTGGGGGCCCTTCCAAGTTGAGTAACACCCAGCAAAAAGCACCCTGGGGACAACGGTTGAACCCTGGGTTCCTATGGAAACGAATCACTCTCAGATATTCTGGCAGGTCCTGGGGCAGAGCCCAAGATTTCTAAAGAGGAGGGCAGCCTTCCTCCTTTCCTAAGGGATCTGCTCTGACTCACAAACGCAAACTCACGGCTGTTGAGTCAGGACTGACTCAAACAACTTCAACCTTAATGAGCATGCACTGTGGGTCAGGTCTGGAGCTGAGCTCCTTAGTCCTTACAGTGCTAGGGCAGAGCTACTGTTCTCCCATCTGTCAGGTAAGGAGACCGAGGCCCAGCGTGGTTAAGTTACCGTATTTGTCTGCCTGTTGCATGGCAACAAGGTCATAAATAACAGAGCTGAACACAAGCCATGTGGCCAAGATGATAGACAGGAAGTGGGCTGATGGAGAGAGAATGACTTTAAGTCTCCTGATGAACTTCAGAGCCACAGAAGAGGTGTTTCTTAGGAGAGAGGGTTGGTGCTTTAATGCAAGAGGAGGCCTGGTGACACAGAGGTAGAAGCGCTCAGCAAAACGATAAAGTCAGGTTTGAAGTTACAAGGACAAAGATAGGGCAATCTGCTTCTGCAGAGACTTAGCGCCTGGGGGACCGTGTGCTGCAGCTGTCCTCTCCTACAGGTGCTATGGCACTGGCAGAGAAACGGGAAACAGATCAACACACACAGACCAAACACACGGTCTGTGGCCTCTCAGCTCTGTGTCCATGACACCAATTCCTCTGGAGTGGGGGGCGGAATCATTGCTTACTTTGGGTGATTACGGTGCCAAGCACCGCTTCTTGTCTCTGTGGTAACTCCCCCACATAGTGATCCCACATTTAAGATGCTGACTCGTCTGATCTCCTGCCCCAGTCCCCCTTCTGAAAAGTCCTCCAGCCTGTCCGCAGAGAACAGAAATGTCCTCTTTTCCACACGCACGAGGAGAGGATGGCTCCTGCATTTATGGAAAGCTTCGCTTCCTCAGCCCCTTTCCCAGCCACTTCCACATTAATTAGTAAGGGTATCATTTTATAAATTACAGCTCCGCACCAGAGGAAAGCAGAGTTTATCTTAATTCAGTCAGCTGTGTGAAATACAGTACTCTAATTTTAGAGCGCCGGTTCTGTGGATCCCCCTGGAATACAGGCATGACAGGTCTTCTGGAGAGAGCTCCCAGAGGGTCCCCTCGAGTCTCACGCTTGCTTCCACCAGCATCCCCGGAGGGTCTTTCAGGAGGCATCCCAGGATGCGGAGTGGCATCCCTGGCACCATTAGCAATTCAGATTTGAACTCGAGTCCTCCGAGCAGCACATGAAAGCTGCCGTGGGTAGCGGGGGTGGGAGGGTGGTTCTGAGGGCCACGGCGTGAGTCTCTGGAACCTGAGGTTGACAGGGACCCTGCACCACCTCAGAGCACCGGTCAGGAGGTGGGGGCTTGGTCAGTGACACACAGCAGACAATTTCAGTCTAGAGGGGAAACCCACGGCTTTAACTCTAAATGGGCTGAGCAGGCCCAGCTGCAATCAGAGAAGGTCTGCTCTGCCTGCCTCCAAAGTCCTGGAGAAATGCCTGCGGCGGGGCAGGGAGACAAGGGCAGTGCCCGGCCTAGTGCCAGGAAGGTAGGACTGCCAGCACGCAATGGAAAAATGGCCATGTCACGACACACGGAGATGCACTGAACTGAGGCTCCTGCTGCCCCCCTGTGCCCTGCAGTCACCACCATCTTGGGCCTGGCTATTGTTGGGTGCCATTGAGTTGACTATGACTCCCAGTGGTCCTGTGGACAACAGACCAAAACCTCGCCCCATTCTGTGTCATCCTCATAATCTCAGCCATGCTTAAAACCATTGGAGTCACCGTAGCAACTCAACTTGGTCAGAGTCTTCCTCTCTCACTGACTCTCTAGTTTTCCAAGCAGTTCTTGGCCCCAGATCCCTACTCACTGCCCTGAATTCCTCCCCACCTGTGAGGGGTGGGTGCTGGCTACCTATCCACCCCCAGTAACTAATACTCTGCTTTGTTCTGCTTCTGAGACAGAAACCAGGCGACAGTAACTCGGAATTCAGGTCAGAACCAACACGTGGGTGGGGTTTCTCTTTGGGGGTTCAGCGAGCCCCTTTGCCAATCCCAGTGGCTAACGTCTAGAAGATGGCAGCCCCAGATGGCCATCCTGATTGCACCTTCTAGAGCCCTGGGGAAATCCTGTAACAGTTCGCAGAGAAGGCTGGGTACCCCTGGGGCATTCAAACACCTTGACAAGGTTAAGAACAATGATGAAGAACCCAGGAATGCAAAAGGGTTTCTTTTTATCACCTTCCCTCTACCTCTGCTCAAGCATGCTGGCTGACCCTACGGTTGGCTTGGTTGTGAATCCCCACTTAAGGTCCAGCCTCCTGGACAAGTACCACAGGCTGGCTGTTGCCTGTGGGACTGAGCCCCAAAGATGTCCCTGGGCAAGGGTCCAAAGGAACCATTCCCTCCCGAGGCCCTGTGGTGCCTGCTAGGAGATGACAAAGTCCTTCCAATGTGGAAACAGGGCCTGCGTCTCTGTGACCACCAGGCCTTGGATACTGCACCCCCCCTGCTGTCCACTCCCTCTGAAACCCACGGCACAGACATCTATGAGAGTAGGGGCCCTACACCCAGGAGCCAGGGATCCCACGGGGCTGCAGGAGGGAAGCGCCTACTTGTCAGTTAAACAAAAGAATAATCCGAGGCCGCCTTTCCAGTGTACACTTTCGCTGTCATCCAACAGCCCATTACCATGTCCCAGCACAGTGCACCCTTCCACAGGTCACTTTGTTTAAAATGACATGGTTAATGCACATGTCAGCAGGCTGACAGTCCTGACCGTCCTTCAGAGATAAAAACCTCCAGGCGAGGGCCTGTTCTTATCTGGGGACACGCGTCGGCCTATCATCCAAGTCAGGCAGAGCATGATTTCTCTAGAGAGCACTTTTTTCATTTCCTGATTTTAAGGAAATCAAATAAGCACCATTTGTCTTCATCTGAATATGCTTGACCTGTTCAAATGATGATGTCTCGCATTTTATAACAGGCTACATATGCTGAATTCAAATTAACGACAGGACCCAACAGGAGCCTTCACATCGCTCTGGGAGGCTGGCAGCAGAGGAGGCGTTGGGGGGGGGGGTGGAAATTCGGGGTTGATGGAGGAATCCCACTGAGCACTAACCACAGGAGTGCAGGTAAAACCTGCGGGCGTGCCGGAGGTGAATGGAGGAGAACAGAGCTCTGGAGAGGCAGCCCTGCAGGCGGGTTCAGAAAACGGGCGGGCGGCCGCTGTGGCTGTCGGCGTGAGGCTACCAGAACGGCGAGACCCTAAGTCTTTGCAGATTGTATAAAGCGGAAGCAAAAGAGGAGAAGGAATTTGGTTGGGAAATTGGAACAGTGAGGAAGAAAGGTCAGGCACACACACCACCCCTCTGCTCCCATCAACAGGAAGCTCACTTTACCAGGTTGGGATCCGATCTTCAGGCGGCTCACAAAAGTGAGCTCCTCTCCTTGATCCACGGCGAACCGGACACACCGAGGCTGGTGGTGGCCATGAGCCTTGGCACAGTTTGCACCTGCTGGAAGAACTGCCCTCCCACCTCGCCGTTCACCCGGGCAAACACGGTAGTCCCCATGTTGTCTCCCCTGCCCGCCCCTAAGATGAGAGTCCTGGAAATGTACATAAAACGTAATGCCCACATTTCTATCAAGAAGACCAAAATGTCCAGAAAGCAGCATATGGTGCAGGGAATCAAATGCAGAAATGGCCTAAGATATACATACCGGTAAACTTAATGTTCTTATATGTTCTTTTTAAAAATAAAGGAAACATTCAGATGGTTATTAAAATAATTTCTACTTGTAAAATACTTTTGAGTTTACAAGTCATCTCTCATGAAGGGAAAATTCAATGTCACACCAAGAACATTAACATGTTTGTTTTTAAAAAAGTGGACCTCCCAAATGAAACATGTTTTATCTGGCCACAGGAAATCTCATGTGAATAAACTACAGAAATGGTCAGCATAGGCTGTGGGGAGGGTTCCCCGGTATGTTGTGTGTGAGACCCGTGATGGGCTTACCTTCTCTTCCTGGTCGCTGTCGCTGTCACACTGAAAATAAAAAGAGAAGGAGGGTTAGTGCAAGATCGAGGACCTTCTTGATTCTGATACAAAGAAAGCAAATGGCAAACACTGGGGGAGGTGGAGAGATTGTCAATGGAATGGACAGCGCAAGGCTGGAAGCCTCTTTTCTGATGTACTTGCCAGCCCGTCCTCTGTAGTTCTTCCCCATTCCCGGGCCAGTCCAGCAAAGCTCTCTGTAATACACGAGAACTCCTGCTGCACAGGACAGAGAGGCCAGACAGGTAGGCATCAACTCTGCCCAGGATTATGTTGAGTCAGGATCATTCTACGTTACTTGGAATAAAAGCAATTTCTCTACCTCCTGGGCCTCCAGAAGAAAAAGAATGACAATCCAATTACAAAATGGACAAAAGACATGGAAAGATTTTTTTTTTTTACAGAAGACAACATTCAGATGGCCAACAGACACATGAAGAAATGCTCAAAATCACTGGCGAGAAGAGAGATGCAAATACAAGCCACAATAAAATACCATCGTACACCATTAGCAGTGGCAAAGTTTAGCAAGGCAACAAGTAATAAATGTTGAGGAAAGATGTGGAGAGCTGGGACCTCTCTTACACTGTTGGTGGGATTGTAAAATGTGACAACCACTCTGGAAGACGGCTTGACGTTTCATCAAAAAGTTGAACATAGAAAGTCCATTATGACCCAGCTATTCCACCACCAGAATTATACCCCAAGGAAATTGGAACTGGACACAAATGGAGATCTTTACACCAATGTTCTACAACTGAATGGATTGAGAAATTGTGGTACATTCACACAATCGAGTACTATGCAACCCTCTGGAACAATGATTTCAAAAAGTACTGCATAACCTGGGAGAGTATTATGCTGAGTGAACGAACTCAGCCTCATAAGGACAAATTCTGCATAAGGCTATTATTGTAAAAATAGAAGAAAAACTAGTAAAGCATGTATGGGGACCCAGTGGAGGAAGGGGTAGAAGCAGAGGGGTGAGGAAGGCTAGGGGCAAAACCACAAGGCTGCAGAGTTTGGTGGGTGGAGGGAGCAGGTGAAGGGAATGGGAAGGATCCAGCAGGGACCTGAAAAGACTGGAAAGGTCCCATGGTGAGTGATTTTATAAAACATAATGAATGGGAATGACTGTATGAAACCCAATATTAACGAAGAAGAGTATGACACACAATGTACAGGAACTCTGTGAGCAAACAAACAAACAATAAAAAGAAATGCTGACTGTACAATAATGAAAGAATTTCTTTTTAAATAGAAAAGCACTGAGGGAGGGATGATTAGGGAGAAAATGTGCAACAATGAATGAAAGGAAAACCAAGTTCTCGGTAAACTTTAGCTAAAACATCAAAGAAAAAGAAAAAAGAAATGCTGACAGCTGCATCTCTGGTGTTTTCTAAAGAGACATTAACCCTCAGGCACTGGTCTCATTTGGATTGGGAAGGAAACGCTCCTAGCTGACAAGCCTTAGTCCTTGTCATAGAGGCCCTGCTGCAGGGTTTAGGGGCTCAGAGCAAAGGAGAAATCTCACTGACAGGACACACGCCCAGGGCTGGAGGCCACTGTAAGAAGTTCATGATATGGGAGAAAAATACGGTTCAGGGCGGCAGAATCACATCATATCCAGTAAAGTCCATATTCTAAGTGGTGACTTGGTTTGAGGATAATCAAAGAATTCTTTCAAAGCTTTGGGAATCTCATTACAATGAAAGAAAAAAGAAACACTGTTTTTAAAAACGAATCATGAAGACAATGAACAATGCTTTTGCTTTCCAATTTTGGATTAAAAAGAAATGATACCACCATTCTGTTTTTGTTACAGTATACATGCAGCAGATAGAAAGACCCATTCATTCACTCCGTGACCTTCAGTAGGCATGGCCTGCCAGGAGAACCAGAGGATCTGCTCGGAAGGAGGACAGCCAAGAAGGAGGATTCAGCTGGTGACACTTCGTCTCATTTCGTGTATGTTATCAGAAGGGACTGGTCCTTGAAGAAAGGCAGCATGCTTGATCAAGTACAGAATCAAGGGGAACGAGGAAGACCTCCAGTGAGAGGGACAGACACAGGTGCTACGACAATGAACTCAACCATTGCCAATGGCTGGGAGGAGGGTGCAGGACCAGCTAAGAGTGACACCAAAATACCTCGAGAAACCAGCACAAACTCAACCAAGACGCGGGCCTCTCCTTGAAGTCACTTTCTGTTTAGCAGATTCCATTGGAACACAAACCCTGAGTGGGGTTATGACTAGGTTGGCTGTATTCCAAGGAAATGACCCCTCGCCTTAGGTACTGGACAGATCTGTGGGGCAAGGGACAGATGGCGGGGAGACCCGACTGGCAGATACCACACTGTCCAGAGCCACATGGTGCTGTGGTTTGGGAAAGGAAAGAACACACGGCACAGCAATACTTAAAGCAGGATCAACAGGAACTGCAAACACATGGGCACACAGGCCGGCTAGGATGATGCCATGGATGTGTTTAGAGTGGCCACCTGGGCAAGGAGAGAAGCAGGAAATAAACTGCTTTGAGGGCAGTCACTCCTGACTAGGTCCTCACACCCATTCACGACCTTTTCCTGCCTCTTGGTACCGTTCTTGACACTTTCAGGTTTAACAAAGTCAGAGGGCTTCTTCCTAATTTTACTTGCAGCTAAGAGCGGTCGTGAGGTCCCTTTCTGGCAAATATGACATGAGGAAATGTCTGCTGAAGGTCTGGAACGAGGTTTCTCTTCTTGATACAAAGGGGGAAACAGGAACACTCTGCTTCTTGTCTTCAAGTTGAGTGTGTGAGGACGTGACGTGTGGATCTCTGGCAGCTACCTTGCAGAGATGAGGCAAAAAGCCCAAGTCCAAGAACAAGACAGTGGAGACAAAGTCTACATGACTCAGGCACTGACTTAACCTCAGAGCAGTCTGTTCCTGGACTTTGTTGTTTTTTTTTTTTTTTTAGTCTAGAGAAAAACAAATTACCATATTGTTGACTCAGTGCTTTTAAACATAAGCAACAAAACCTGATCAAGGTGGATATCTATTATTATAAATCACAATTTGGGGACTACAGCTTTCTATTTCCAGACTAAGGTATTTCTATTGTAAGTATTTAGAAGCGTCCATCACAACAGTGTAGACTTGAGGTTCTAAAATCTTTCAGTTCCCCCTCCGGCTCCCCAGTGTTGTATTATTGTTAAGTACTGTCACGTCAGAACCGACCCGTAGCTGACCCTCCAGTAAGTTTTCAGAGGCAGTAAACGGAGTGGGAGCAGCCGGCCCACCCTTCTACTGCAGCAAGCAAGGAATTTGAACCCTGTGCCTTCGAGTGGGCAGCATGGCTCCTTCCCACCGCAGCGCCCTAGGGTTATCCAATTGAGTGACAATGATAGAAACATGCACACACATCTTTGCCAACAACTTCCAGTCCCAGAGGGCCCACACTGACGGATTTTTGGTTTGCTGTTTGTTATGCACAATGGGTGATTTCTGTTCTGTAATAAGGCCGTTGAGTGAGGCGAAGGCTTAGAGTATCCTGCAAGGCAGAAGTCAGAGGGAACCCAGTGATGATCTGAGTGATTTTCCCAACAAAGGCACCTAAAGGAGCATAACATTCATGCACTAGGCTGCTAACGGAAAGGTGAGTGGTTCAAACTCATCAACCACCTGGAGGGAGGAAAAATGGCGAACTGCGGCCTCGGAAGCCAATGGAGGGTCACCAGAGCCGGAAACAGCAGGGCAGCAGTGGTATGACTGGTGGTTCTGTTTTCATCTGCTGCTCCTGGAGTCCAGGCACAGTTCAACAGTGACAAAACGTCAGGCAGGGTGCGGGTGCGGGGCGGTGAAGCAGATTCCGTCAGGTGAGCTCACTCCCCAGATGCTGCCAATTTTCTCGGTGTAGTGGCCGATGGCAGCTGAAAGCCTCACCACCACGTTGCCATCCCCCCACGACAGGGTCTTCTGGGTTGACAGGGTGAGGGGAAGGTGGGAGAGACCCCCCCACCCCTGGTCTTAACAGCGGTAAGTCCCTGAGAAGGGTTATTTCTCTTAAAGCGTTAAGCTTCCTGCCTTCCAACAGTCCAGTTCTAATTTCAAGGTCCACTTAATTCTGCATCAAGTAATTACTGATATACCCAGAAGCACCTTGTCTCCAGAGCTAAGCATATGGTGGAGAACCGAGACCTACTGGTATCCATTATGGAAGCAGCACGGATGCCAAGCCGATTAAAAATGCTTGGGCTCCCCACACGACACGCGGGTGAGTGACAGCTCGGCGACAAGGCCAGCCGCACAGTCTGCCAAAACAGCCCCGGCTGCGCGGGGGCCCACATGGCGCGTGAGAAAACAGTTCCATTTCTGGTATTAAATTCCCATACTGACCCGGGGACTGTGCCGCGAGCCCAGCAGGCGCGCACCATCCAATTTACAGCTCGGCTCGGGGGCTGCGGTGCCAGCCCCTGGCAGAGACGGATGGTGGCCAGCCCTCCAGCTCATAAATTATGCAGAGGCAATAAACGCGCTCTGCAAACAGCGCCAGCGCCGGCCTGGCCCGCACACGCTCCCTCACACACGGAGTCTGTTCCTCTCATAAAGGGGCCTGTTGACAAGCCCAGACGGCAGAGGGCCGCCGGCCGGACGAGGCTTTCTGCTCGGCTGGCAGCGCTTTATGGACGTGCTTTGTGGACGGGGAGGCTGCTTTATGGAGCTGACGTGGGAAGGATTCATGGCCTCCCGTCCACAGTTAGTACACTCACGGCTTTCAGGGCCCCGCTCAGGCCGCCCTGGCTTCTCCAGATGATTCTGGGTCCTCTGAGGCTCTAAGACGACGTGTCTGCACTCCCAGTGCGCAGACACCCACTTAAATAAGAGTCTGCACTGAACTGCCTCCTGAACTGAGACAGGAGAGGTTGGGAAATGGGAAGGCTCACACACGCAGAAGTGGGGTCCCCATGTTTGGAAATGTTTCCCTCCATTTTAAAAGGAAGGAAACAAG